GCATATATATAAAGAAATAATAAGCCCCATGTGTACAATAGAATAATTTCAAAACGTTAAATCACCGGGCCAAAATGGTTATACAGTAATCTTACATATGGTCCTAGCAATTCTTGATTTTGTACCATCTACAGTTATAGATCGTTCATGAGACATGCACAAGCCAGAGAGAAAGGAAGTGATGAGGTGAGGATTTGGGTCATTGTTGTGGACTTGTAATGAGCACTTGGGAGCGGAATGGCATTTTCTGAATGTCTGAACTCCCACCTTATATTGTTTTGTGAGAATCATAATAGTCATGGCCATGACATGTACAGCAAAGTTTGGCAAAATTGCATATCCTAAGTATTAAAGGGGTCCCTTGAAAAATTGGACTGATTATAACCTTTCAATACTATGGCCAGTTTTGTAGACTTTATAGAGGAAATTTCCCACTAGTCTACTTATATGGACATTTCCTACCCCTCCACAATGAAATATAAAATCAAGATAATGATAGACCAAGTGGGGAAATTGATATTATTCTACTGGCTTTTTTTCGCTAATTGAAGGATTATTAAGGACCCATTAATGATGTTTGATGTTTTAGGTTCTTGCATCGACCAAATGCTTATCTGTAACATTTCAAAAAATTTCTTGAATGTTTGAGATGCCTGTCACAACATATTTAGTTGGTAAATCTATTGTTAGTTGGAAATCATTCTTGTGATCTGTCTAATTAATAGTGATACAATTTGAACATAAAATGTGTTTATTTCAAAGCCAAATGACGTAGAAATGGGCAATATTGAAGCCAAAAAAATTGGTCTAGTTTCTATTGTCATCACAGCAGACAGATTAACAACTCGTGCCATTGAGCCTAATGAATCCAAAATTAAATCAATATTATGATGGCAATGACTATTAGGAGCTTAGTGGAGAGGCCCAAGTTCCCAAAGAGATTGATATTTGATTGGATAGGGAGGGTCTTATGCATCTTCTTTTTATAAGCCCTTCATCATGTCAAACTGAGCGGCCACCCAATCAATTGCTAAGCGCCAAGTGTCCCTACTCTTTGGGCCCACTCTTTTGCCCAAAATTAGGGAAGAAAAACAAAATTTAAAGAATAAGACATGAAGTAAAAAACGTAGGGACTTTTCTTCATTGGCTCTCCAAACTATATTCTTAACAAAAAGAAATAAATGGGAATCATTAACTACTAAATATTCAATGAGCATATGATAACTTGCTCTAATGGAGAATCCCCTAGACATTTGGCACTAGTTTACTTTTACCAGAACTTACTCTATTCTTCCTTTGGTTTTATTCATTAACTCATCACTTTACGCTTACATGTGAGCACATAGGTCATAGCAAAGGGGGTCACTTTTTTTTGGAATAGATTTGGTTAATCTAAATTGTACCTTTTGTTTTCACTATGACTTGCTTTCATTACTTATACAAATGGCCTATATGTATAGTCATCAATCTGAAACAGTGAAACTACCAAAAATCTAAAGTGAATACCATCTTTGAACTTCTTGTGTTACAATAGAGATTATGGGAGTATAAAGTTTGCTTTTACTTGGCGTTATTTGTTTTTACTATGTCCAAATACAGGTCCCCTATTGTTCTTTAGCCGTTTCACAATGAGAAAAGTTAAATATTTTGATAATATATTATCTCTATATTCTTCACGCAAATGGGTAAGTAATCATTCCCTTTCTTCAATTCTTTGAGAAATGAGAATGCAACAAAACTAAAAAGCATGTGGAAAAGGGATAAAAACAAAAAATAAAGCTAGCAAAGGGGATATGTCTATAAAAATAAACAATAGAGTTTCAAAAACAGCTTTAATTTTCAGGATACATGGTCCAAGTATGCATGAAGAACAAAATATATAATCTTAAGCACTTGGTTGTTTAAGCATGTTTTATTATCCTTTCTTATTCTTGCATAGAGAAAAGCAATGCGTCTGGGGACAACTTTGTCTGGTGAACTGCCTTTTCAATTGGGATACTATGTGAACTGTGTTTAATTTTTGGCTAAGTACAGATTAATTTGTCTTGTTGTTTGTGCTTTCTTTTTGACATTCAAGTGATAAGCTATTCAATGCAACTTAATCCCTTAACCTTTTCTTTCTAAAAGACGCTGTTAAGATTTGTTTAGGCTCCTTCATCATGCCCTTTTAGCTAAACCAATTTGGACTTACCAAAAAAGAGGACAAGAAGGTCCAAAAGGAAGACTGGAAAAGAGAGAGTGTTTTACCCTACATATAAAGTTTCATTTTAAGACAATTGTTCACCAAACACAACAAAATAAAAAAAAAGTACAAGCAGCTAAACTTTTTAAATATGCTCCTCAGTGATTTAATTGTTTGTTATCCCTCCTCCCTCTCTCTCTCCCCAAGTACTATAAACTACCTTATTATGTCATATGGTTACTTTTCAGTTAACAGTCATCTTCTTGATGAACAAGAATAAGGATAACTAATGCAAGGCCAAATGCATAGTTCAAAGGTGTCTAATCTAACTGGCCAAATCAAAATCAGAACCACTTTGGCCTATTTTGTAATTTTGTTGGTGAGGATAGGTTTTTGGTAGAATTAATAGAAAATACCAATTACCTATTCTGAAATGGTAATTTAATTCTATATTATTAATGGTCCTTTCTATTATTTTTCCAAAATTTTCACATAAAAATGTAAACTAAATTATGGGAGTTAATGTTAAAATAAGGTAGAACACATGGTCAAATTTGCAAAAAAAAAAGAAAAAAGAAAGGAGATTCGGCTGAAAAAGTTTGCATAATGAATGTGAACTTCACTATTATCAACATTACTAGAGGAATGAACCAAAATGAAACTTGGCACAGCCTGAAACAATGTCCCTACTAAAACTCTCCTTTTCTTTAATTCCATTTCTAATGCAATGAGCAAAAGTAAAAAAGAAAATATTCTTTGATTGATCCCATATGAAAAAGAAACAGGGAACAAAGGCCCCACGTGTGGAACAGAATTTGAAGTTCATGCTATTATATTTTATCTATTTTTAGCTTTATGTTGATGTTGGGGTTCGTCTACTTGGGATTCCTACATCCTTGTGGGAACCATCCTTTTGATATTAGAGCCACCTTTTCAATTGGCTGTGGATTTTCACTTCACTCACTTTTTCTCCCTATCTTTTCTACTTAGCACGCTCTTGCAAAAGAAAAAGGTTTAGGAATCCTATGCCCCTCCTTATATTCCCATAGTTTGGTTCTTTTTGCTGTACCCCTTTTGAGATAATAATAATATTCACATCTCATGTTATTATCACTCTCATGTATTTCCTTTCAAAAACACAATGCTTCAGATTATGTTACTGTTTTTACGTAACTGAGATGCAGAACCTTCTGTTCAGATTATTAGTATTGCAATGATACAGTTATCTTGTCACTGTGCCTTTCTACTTATTGTGATGTATGGTCCAATATATAGTATATAATAATCAAAACCCATATTTTCTTTTGAAAAAAAATAAAATAACGGTTCACTCATTGCACATAGCCACATACTTTATGATATATTCTATACAAACCAACAATTTTTTTCAACAATCTTTCCAATTGACTTGTTCAACAATTTGTGATGATGGTGATGCTAACTCAAGCTACCTATTGATGTGTTTGAATTCAAAAATAAAGATTAATATTACCAAATTTGATTTCATTGGAGTTGCAAACCTATAGACACGGCTATAAATGAGTTAAGGGAATCCAATAATAATGGAGAAAGTTTGTTTTGGTCATGTAATAGAAAGCGACATTTCTTCACTTCCTCAAATTCCCGCCACCATAAGAATTTGGTATAAACCTATACTGATGTTTCATAATGGCCACGATATAGGCACCTAAGTAGATGAATTATTACTATTTGATTAATATATCCATAAGGGGTTCTAGCTAATGTTGTCAATAGGGTGGTGCATAAGATAAGGAAATGGTCTAGCATAAACAATGTGTTGATAATGAAGTGTGATAACAAGTTTGTTGCTACTATTACATTTGTTGAATGGGATTTGATTTTGACATGAGCTTTAAAGGGTGAGTATTGCTTTGGATTGGGAGAGTTGGGGCCTAATAGCAGAACCTGCAAAGTGGCAAAGAGGAACTGAGGATGAAAAAACATTCTGTCATATTCCAAATGGGTCTATCTCTTTAGCATCTTTCAATAAAGAAGGCACTTAATAGAACAGCTCATATGGCTGAGCAGAAAATTCTCTGCTTCACCCATGACTTGACATCACCTCTTCTTTCTTTCTCATTACACCCTCAAAGGCACACTGCTACATAGTTTTGCTTTTGTCTGAGGAATAAAATTATATAAATAAATAAATTATTTTTTATTTTTTTAATATATATAGGAAAGCCTATAAATGAAGAGTGCTAGAGCATGGTCAAAAGTCCCAATGAACCAGTTTCAGTTCCTTTTTTTGGCTTGAGGTTGGTCCATTTTGTTCCTTTTCTTTTGCACTGACAGAGTGTATCAGATGATAACCATTGATGAGGAAAGTATGGGAATGACCAAGTGTGGGACTTGACTCTATTTGAAGGAGATGGATAATTATCCCAACCACATGGACAAAAATACTCTCTTAGCACTGGCCAATTAATCATCACTGCTTTGGAGATGAGGGACCTATAAGCAACAAGTATAAATTTTAATTGCTTTGGTGAAAGTGATTAGAGGATGTTTTGCCTACATAATGTGCCCCCTCTTGATTGGTAGATCGATGTAGGAGAGTTTTGAACTCAACTATAAGATCATCGTATGATCACTCCAATAGTCAAATATTTTGTCCAAGGTTTCAAATTATGGATTGCATCATCATGTAAGAGGTTTCAATACTTTGGTTGTGGTGGATGTCGCAATGCAACTATTAACAGCAATTGCAATTTAAAACCTTAATTCTAACTGTAGGAGATTATAGGGATAAAAGTTAAAAATGACTTAAAGAGTGTGTTTCGTAGTAGATGCAAAAGGAAAAGGTGGAAACTAGGCTTATATCTAGCTAGAGAGTGGAAATGAAGAAAAGGGTGCAAATGTTTTGATTTTACTTGTTAGTGCTTGCTAAAGAAAGCGGAAAATTAAATGATTGAAAAATTGTTTTGTTTGGACTCGAGATGTTGCACTTTCATTTCATTTTCATTCCTATGTTGCCAGATGCATTTGTCTTTCTATCGTTTGTATTCTTTTGCTAAGTAATCATATCATGATTTAATTCTTTTTAAACGTTGTCATCCTCATCCCTACCAAGCACATTTAGATCTTTTTTTACAAGGGATATTAATAATGAAAACGAATCATCTTATATCAAAATTTTCATGTTAGGCAAAATAGAATTAAGAATGAATACATAAGAGAAAATTTTATGACAATACATGTAATACAAAACATGGTAGAATTTCGCATTAAGTGGTTTGAAATTATTGGAAGAAAACATCAAGAAGTTCCACTTAGAATAGTCAATAACATGAAGGTAATATAATTACTAGAGATAAATGGTGACCGAAAAAATTATAGACAAAATTTTAATTATTGGCATTTATTATTATTATTCTCTTGGGATAGAGGTTTTTTAAGAGCCAAAGGAAAACATAACATTTAAGATATCGAGTTGGTTTCAAACAAGCCACTAATTGAATGCATATAGAAATCTAGCCCTTTAGACCTTACCAAGCATGTCCATTCAATTCTATCTTTATTTTCCTGTTTTAAAAGATGATTGGTGTGATATACTCATTCTAAATGAAGTTGAAATGAACTAGTGGTAATGTGCCACAAACAGTAGCAAGCAACTCTCAAATGGATTCAGAAATTTCCAGGAAGGTGTCTCCAAACAGGATGGCACAAGTAATTCCAAGCCTTTGTTCAAAGGGTGCACCTTCTCATCCCAACCCCACCTAGTTGTGGCACACACCTATATATGTAGCACTTTTAGTTGTTTTTAATTATGGTGAAGCAGAGGATGCAAGTACACTTCAAGTTGCCGGTGCAATAGCTACACTTCATGCAATCTCAAACAAAGAATCAATGTCCCATTGTAGGGGCAATAGTATTAGCTGGATTTGATGATTGCTCCCTTTTACAGGAGCCTTTCATAAAATTTGTCAGAACTTAGCTGAATAGAGAGATCATACAAGTATATGATTGAAATAGGTAGGTGGTCTTGATTCAATATTTTTTTAAAAGCCTATTTTAGCTGAAGTCCATGTCTGCCAAATTAATCATTCCCTTACACATCCTCATGGGACCCCAAATTAAAGAACCGCCCTCTTTTTCATTACAACTTATGTAGAGGTTGTAATAGATTTGATGAAAATAAAATGGAATATAAGGGGAAAAAACAAGGGAGAATGTATTTAAAATCATGGGTTATAATCATTTATTAAATTTTCATATTAAATTCCCTGTTTTGAAAGTTTCACCATGTGAATTGGTTTGTCTTGATAGCTTTTTAATTACGCGCAGGTAATTGGATCTAACTTTTCATTACTTCAATTGATCATTTTGTCATTTTCCTTTTTTTATCATTGAATGGGGATTCCAGTTAGTATAATTATTATTCATTAAAGATTTAGGATATGACTATGATAATAGATTATAAATTTAACACGACCTTATAATTAAGAGTAATTTAACAAGATACAGATAAGAAGTAACAGCTGAAAAAGACTGATATAGATGATTTGTGACTTACTGTACTTTTTATGAGAGAAGAAATTAATATAAAAATAAATAACTTTTTTCAATAAGTTAGAAATAACTTATTTTTTAAACAAATCTTATAAAAAATAAATAAGAAAACTTATAACAAAATAGAGAAATATAAATTGATTTTAACTTATAAAAAAATTATTCATGTTATTACTCAATTTTTAACTCTTATAAATATTTATTAAAAAAATTTATCCAGATTGAACCATAATCTTATAAGTACCTAAATAGTTAGTTAAAAATATAAATATTATTTTAAAATTATAAAATATAATATTATTTAATTAAAAAAAATTTAAATTTATTATTATAACATTTGTTTATTTCATAAGAAAATACAAAATATATATCATATATTTTTAATTAGCACGAGTAAATACCCAAAATAAACCATCATTATTTTTAACTCAATGAAAAAGAAGAAAAAAAAAAATACAAATTGACCAGCAGCGAAGATGCAGTATGTGAGAGGATATCAATGGAAAAACGAGAAAAGATAATTCTCTTCCTCATTTTTTTTGGCATAAATGCCAAAAATTCTTTCTTAAAGAAGTGTGTTCTCTTTAATTTCTTTCTCAGTCACCATTTTTATGGGAAACAAACAAAGTAAAATAGCTTATTTCTCAATGTTCACATGAACAAGGATAATAGACGCGTAAGTAGTGTAAAGTGTTTCAACTAAAAATTAACATAGAACATTTTAAGATCTTATGTGTAAAGCACACATACTTATTCAAATTAAATAAACTGATTCAAGTATTGTTTAACACTATTTCAGATTATTCAAAACTCAAAGATACCTCGATCCAAAACATGAGATTTGCAAAATTATAAGAACGTATGTTCATTTTAAAAATGGTGGGAATGGTTGTTAGACATTTCTATAATAATAAAATATAGTCTTATAAATTAAGGTATAAAGAGTAATATAGGACGTTATCTACACCTTTTGAAAAGACACCACTAAACTACTAAGGTAAGCTAGTTTCGTTATTCAAATAAAAAGAGAATACAAAATCTGATGGTGCTCTAACTAACATCTGCTTTATGAAGTACTATTGGTGAGAGGTTATGTTGATTCATGGAAATTTTACATAATTAGAAGGTTGTAACTTTTCATGAAATGTTAATTTTAACAACTATTGATGAATAGTTGTGTTTGTTGATAAAACCTTCTATACTTAAAAGGTTGTTTAATGAAGTTATGTTTCTTTATGAAACACCAAAATATGTCTATAAAAGACAAGTTTTACCAACACTCATCCATTGAATGAGTTCCTTTTTACACAAGAGATAAAAGCAAATAAATATTGTTGGTGACTTACTTAAGTTGCTAGGGTTTTCATTGCACTTAAAAGATAATTTTTTTATTAAGCCAAATTACAATAGGTGCATGGGGACAAACCAAACTTAAAGGAATAGGCAATTTTAGAGACTGTTTGTTTAATTTTAAAAAAATTGTTTTTATCATTGTCAAGTAATTTTATTTTAAATATTTTTGCAATGTCATTTATTATAATTTTAAAATAGTATAAAATAGTTTTAAAAAATATTAACATATTTTTAAATTTTATTTTTAAAATGTTACATAAACATACAAACATGATTTTTTTTAGACATTTTATTAATAAAATTAGCTTCTTGTGCTAATTTTTTTAAATAAAATATCCTTAACTCTTATTTAGAAAAGTTAAAATTTAAGAAAATATTTTTTAATAAAAATAATGTTAAACACACGTAGACTCAATACATGTTTAACCAAAAGTATTTTTTTTAAAAAAATAATTACTTGTTTATAATTTATATAAAAAAATTGACAAATAAATAAATAATTCATAAAATAAGTTAAAATCCAACACGAATTTAACATAACAATTAAAAGATAAAATAACGTGTACTTGTGAATAATGTTTACAGGAAAATCTTGGAAAAGATTTGAGATGAAAGGTTTGTTGGGTTCTAATTATAATAAGTTGGATGGAGTAAAGGGTCCAATTGGGTGTCACATGTCATTATGCTGTCCTTGTGGCAGAGCCTTTATATCAGAGAAAATCATTCTTACTAAATATTTTATAACGAAGAAATTAAAAAGAAAAAACAAAGAATGAGTGTGAAGTGGGGAAGAAGGATGTGACAAAATGACAAATTCTAATTCGAAAATCAAACCATTAGAAGACCACTTTCAAACGCAATCGCAATCGCAATCCTGTCCTACAACCCTAACAAATGCCACCGACAATAAAACAATAGCGTTTCACTGTTCAAATTTTAACAACATCAAACCCATGTTTATCCGCGTGTTGTTGGTTGAGTGGAAAACCTTCAAAATTATTAAAATTATTTTTTTAATCTCGTTTAAGTTTTAAAAAAAAACATTTATAGCATGATAGTCTTTTTTTTTTTCCTTCGTTTAGTTTTACGTAGTCTTCTTAACCTGAGTTAAACAAGTTGAATTGCAAGTTAATGGATCAGCCGCAAGTTAATTGTTTTAAATTTCATATATTAAATTTTATAATAACATTGATTCAGTAAAATTCAATGATAAATTTAGTTTTTTCACCACTTTTGTTACAAATGGGGACTTTCCTCAGTCCTCAACTTTGTAGTCTTTTTGGGCTGTTCAAAAGTAAGCTTCAGCCTGCAAGAATGGGATCGTAGATCAATCGACCCATTGAGTTTGGATCAAACTTTATGAAGAAACTATTTTCATTTCACAGCCAATCCTAAACAACTTAACCCTCTTTTGGAAAACAAACAAAATTCGAGCCCCCTCCATAGGATAATCTTTTTCACTTAAATCTTTAATTTTTTCTGTTGACCATAATAAAAAAAAATGTTTAACCTTTTCATTTCATAAGCGAGGCCACCTCCATAGGTTGGGTGTAGATTTGAGAGTTCTTTGATTAAAATTTCGATTACTGCAGAAGAGGTTAATTTTTGAAGAAAATTTGAGTTTAATATCTTTATCACTGAAATATACTATTTTTGGTCTTTTTTATACCAAAAAAAATATTTTTTTAGTTTTTATTATAAAAAATAAATGATAAATTCAAAATACATTAATTGTTAAATTTTTTTTATACTCTTCTTTTATTAATATCATTAAATATATAAATTATTAACTACATTATTTAATATTATAGGTATTTTTAAAATAAAATTTATATTATAGAAAATATAACAGACTTAATTGTTTTCTTTAATCTGATGATTTAGTCTTTTATTTTTTATAAAAAGGACTGGAAGAAGTATTTTTATTTCTAAAAACATGATTTTTATTTCTAAAAACATGATTTTTTTTTCTACTTAAATGTTATTTATTTTCAATTTCCGCCCTTACTAAAAACAAATCATGCATTTCTTTTTTATCTTTTATTAGGTGCTACAAACATGATATTTAATAATTTTTAATGATTAAAAGTAAATCTTACAAAAAAAATCTTAATTTTAGAAATTAAAAAAATTGAGAAAAAATTTTAAATCATTTTTGAGTTTGGAGTTTCATTCACAGTTTAATAGTTTGGGAAAAAATAGGGTTGGGACTTCCTGTATTTTAACTATTTATTGAGAACTTCATCGGTCTAACATCTCGCCAAGAAAAATAACGATTAATACACTCTGACCAATAATTATAGGTATTCTTAATTTAATTTAATAATCATTAAATTTATAGATATCATATATTTTTATAATTTTTAACATAAACCTAATTATTCAACCTAAACTAATCCAATAATAACCAAGTCAACTCAGTTTATGTCGCAATGAAGGTGACGAGACCACTCAAGACAAACCCAATCTAATGAAGCCTTGTCGAGCTTAATGTGCCTCTTTGAGATAGATTTTGCAAGAGAAAGAAGAGGAGGACAATTTTTTAAAATAAATATTCTGCAATTTTATAAATTCTTAAAAATAAACTTAATGTATTAATTATTTATATATTTTTTAAAACATTTAATGACTTCTTAATTATAAAAAAATATTTACCCTCCCTAACTTTCCTTCTAAAACCCAACTAACAACCTTAGTCTTTTAAGTGTCCTAAAACTAAATTTGTATAGTTTCTCTCTCTCTCCATTAGGTTTGGTGATCTTAGTTTTTTATAGGGGAATTTCTTTGAATCAATGATCCCAGCACAAATAGCAGTAGCTGCTGACAAATAAGACTTGAATTGACCGAGTTATGTCCCTGGACTGGGTTGAAACGGAATGTTGTGTTCAAATGAAATAATGATATGAGTAATCCATGCTTAGTCCTAAGTTGCTGAATTGCTTGCTTTGAGGTGTCTCAAACCAATTTCAACAACAACAAAATCGCTTACAGAGGAAACTTCTTAAGTAACTATTGTCTAAGAATAACCAAATTGAGCAATATATAATTAACACACATCAAAATTAGGACATTGGGTTACATTACTAACGATCAATTTACATGGGTATACAATTATAAAACAAAAATAAATAAATACCTGTAAGACAGAAGAAGATTGTGCAGCAAAAAAGAATGTGAAAGGGTGATGAACTTAAAAGGCTTTATTAGGTCTGGTGTCTTGCAAAACGGTGGGTTTCTGGGCCTTGGAGAGGCAATACTTTGCGATGTCTCTGAATTTGGGTACACTCCTTAGGTCCACTTTGGTGCCATCTTTAAGGGTGATGATAATGTCACCCCACTCCCCAATGAAGCGCGGAACAACCTGCACGTCTTTTATCACTTTGTAAGAGAAATCGCTTCGGTCTTCACCCGTCAGCCCCGATATCACGGTCACCCTCAGGTCGGTGAACCTGTAGCGCAGGAACAAGGCCCTTGATACTGCCGCAAGGGTCAGGGGAAGCCAGAACAGGGTGAAACCCAGGAGGAGGTTCGCCAGGAGGTCGCCGTAGTGGGCCCCGCCGTCGAAGAAGACGGTTTCTCCGGCGGATTTTGCGGCGGTCGAGGGCGGGGTGGTGGAGACGGGTTGGTTGGGGGGAGAGGACACACGGAGCCTGCTGATTCGACGGTGGGGGTTGGACTTGGTGGTGGGGAAGAAGGATGCAGAGGAGGGGTGGGGGGAGTGGTGGCTGACGGTGGTCTTTGTGGCGGTGGTGGGTGGTGAAAGGAGGGGTATGGCAGCCATGTGGGTTAGTAATGAATATGACTATGTTATCCGTTTGGATCGGAGGATTTAGGGTGGCAGGTAATCAAATCTTCAAAGAGCCATTCTGTGATTGTATTGGTTGAAAGAGGGAGTGGGGACCACTTCTTTATAATTGGCTGCGATCTACCCACGTGGCTGGTCCTTGATTAATCATCATTACAGGCCCAATACTTTTCATGAGTTAAAATCATAGAAGCCTAGAAACTCAATTGTCAAGCCCAATATTCCAATACATTCTAGTCATTCTTCTAATGCTATTGAGGGGTTCGACTTCGACCTTGAGAGTTAAAAAAAAAAAATTTGCTACTGAGGATTGCTATTTACTGTTAAGAGGAGCAAATTTTAACATGCTTTTAAATATCTTTTGTTATTATTTAATTTTTAAAAAATAAAATAAAATTTAAAAAGCAATTAATTTATAAAATAAGTATTTTAATTTTTTTAAAAATAGATCAATAATAAAAAGTACATTAAAAAATATATTTAAAAGAGTGTGTCATTAGTGCTTTTGTTATAAACAATGGTTATTACGTGTTAAAGTTCTAAATGTCATGAGTTTCAGCAAAAACTTGAAGTTACATATATCATGTCAAAACAAACTTATGAGAACAACTGAACCGAGCTAAACCTCACAAAACTGAATTAATTTCCTATTGTGCAAACTTTAAGTTAGTCCTAAATATTATATGGGTCATGCATTTTGCTCATTGACATTAGAAAATTCATTTTTTAGTCTCTAACTTTATAAAACAACATTTAGTTTAATTTATTCAGTGTAAAATGACAGTTAAAAACAAAGTAAAAAAATGAATGTTTTTCTTTTAAATTTAGAAATTGACAGAAGTTTTTAAGATTCTAGAAACTAAAATACATGACCAATGCAACCTCGAGGACAAAATTAAAAATTTGCTGAAGTGGACCATGCGTTAAGAACAGAGCATGGCTGCAGTAGTCAAAAGAAATTTAGTTTTTTTGGTCGAAAAGAGAGGTTTTGTTCAAAAGTGATGTGGTAATATGATCGCAAAGGCCAGAGGCCCACAAAATACAAGTCCCCGAATAGCATTGGGTTGGAGCATGCATGCAAGTCCATATTTCCAAGGCTTCTTGTTTAAGCCTAGTTTGACAAAAGAGAATGATAACTCAGTTCCCAAGAAATTGTAACCTAGACCCATAAAATAACAGTAAAAGTGAAAGAACATTAATATAATAGTTAGTCTCTTATGTATTGAAAGAGTATGTTTCGTTGGCAGCTCATATGGTAGAGTTAGGGGACATGTGTAATGAAAGGAGTTGGGTTCCCACTCCCATCTTCCAACCCGCACCCTTGAACTGAAAACAACAATGCAGAGGCGATGTTGTACCAAAAAAGGGGATCTTTTACATAATCAATCATCACCCCGTCTTGAATTGAATTTATACCAAAGTACAAGATTGAATTAGTATAAATAATCTTAGCAAAAGGCATGATCATGTCCCAGCTTCTTTTACTCTATATTCTGCAATCCTATCTTTTTAATATGTATTCATTTTAGTCCCGTATGTAACTTATCAAGTACATCTCGAGTTGTCGTACTGAACTTTTATTCAAAATATGCTGCTAAGGTGATGATCGATGATACAGAAGTTGGTAAATTTAAACATTAAAATGAATAAATGGACACTGTCGCAACCGGGTGGTCGCAACGGTACGGCGAAAAACGTTTTTTTTAAAAAAAACGTATCAGAGGAGTCGCCAGCAAAGTTTATTTTAAGAAAAACCTTGGAAAAACTTAAATATAATACGATATTTGAAACCAAGAATGAGTTCGGGAGTCATTTACGTGTAGGGAAGGTATTAGCACCCTACAACGTCCGTTTAAAAACGGTTACCTAAAATTAATTGTGCAAATTCATTCTAATTTTAAAAAAAAATATTTATTTAACCCCTAAACATTAATTATTTTATTTTAGAAGAAGAAATATTATTTATTGAAATATTATTTGGGTTATTTTTAAAAATTATTTTGACTTGACGGGTTCGGTTCCCGCTCCTACGTATCTCCGGGTGCAATGGGGAACTCAAAGTCACGTAGTTCTATCTAAAAATTATGAAATTAGTAGATTAAAATTAGGTTTAGTAAAAGAAAATTTATTTTGAAATTAAAATTATTTTGTAAAATTAAAATATTTAGAATACAAGATAACGCAGTTATACATGTATCCTACGAGAAACAATACAGAAAGTGAAGGAAGATCACACAACTATATTGCAAATCGTTAAAAATATTTTATTCGTAAATCAAGTATTTAAATTTAAATTTTGATTATAATTAACGTTGAAAGAGAATTTAAGATATCGTAAGCTATACATAAATCTCTTATAATTTATTGAATAATCGAAGGCAATGTAAATTACACATGGATGATGTAAAAAAAAATTTATAAATAAGTAAAGAGATGTTTAGTTATTTAATTGATCCGAATTAGAAATATGACTTAAGAAATTTTAAAATATGAAATCAATCTTATTTGATGAAAGGAGTAAATATATATTTGAATTGATTAAAAAATATTTAATAAGAAATAAATAAAACTTTGTTTGATAAATTTATATTGTATAGAACCTAAGGAAACGTAAGTACACATAGGTTCTAACAATTTACAATGCATGAGGGTAGAGTCGCTACACATTAGCATTATAAATTGTTTTATTAATAAAATAATTTAGATTTAAATTAGTTGATTGATTCGTAAGTAAGTTAGTAATTAGAAGGAAAAATATACTTTAATTTATTATTAGAGTGATTAACTAATTAATTTAAGACAATACATGATAAATTAATATTGTATAAAGTCTTGGTAACGTAGGCACACATAGACTTTATCAATTTATAATACACGATGATAGAGAAGTTATACGTTAGTATTATAAAATGATGCAATTATATTATTATTTATTAATTAAAAAAAAATATAATGTAAAAAGATAAACCATAAATATAAATTAAATCATTATCTATATTTTATAAATATACAACAACAACCATAATAACAACAACAACAACAACAATAATAATAATAACAATTTTAAATGATAAGTGACTAACATAATAACTAAAACAAAAAATAATGAGATAATATAAAAGAAAATTTTATTGTTAATATTAGAATAAAATAAAACTAAGAAAATTAATAAAAAGGTAATAATAAAATAAAATAAAATCAACAAATAAAATATATTATTTATGATAAAATGTATCACTAGAATATAATCTGGGATAGGAATAATAAAAATAATAATGTTCACTCTTTTAACAAAAGGATTAAAAAAAAAAAAACTGTGAAACAAAACTTAAAAATCCGAAAGTAAAAAAAAAAGAAAGAAGAAAAAAAGGAAAAAGAAAATAAAATAAAACATTTAAGATAAAAGACGTAAATGAAACGAAAGTAAAAGCCGAGACATATGTTGCAGAGATAATTGAAATCAGATTGGAACAAAACTTTCACGTTAGAAAATTTTAAAAGAATATATATATAAAAAAACAAAACAAAAACAAAAAAACAAAAAAAAATAAAAATGAAAAGTTGATGGAAGTCTGGTACCTCAGGAGTAGGTAGCAGTTTCGTGTTCTAGATTTCAGGCCCTTTTCAAATCAATGTTTTCAAATAGTATCATATTATATTATTAAAATGTATAGCAAAAGTAATAACAGTGGTTTCACAATTTGATTTCAATATTTCTCTTCCATCTCTCATTTACCGAGCAGCTCTTTCGAAAACATTTTATTTTTATCACTCGTTGTTCTTCAAAGATATTCAACGACGAACAAAGTAATAAAGCGAGAAAGAAATACCTGGAGCCGGTAATGAATTTTCTTCTTCTTTTATTTCTGATCTCTTCTTCCTCCTTTCTCTCAGATCTCTCTTACGATTTTTTTTTTTTAAATAATCAGCCGCTCTTAAAATTTTCGTCCTCCTCCCAGATTTCTTGCTTATGTATTTATATTGGTCATTTTTAGGGTTTAACATGGAGACAAAATTCTGAAGCTTTCCCTTTCTTACGTATGGACTTTAGTCTGGGAGCTGGGTGTAAGCCTGCTTGATGCAGGATTTCCGTTTCTGGGACCAAATCTCTTTTTTCAAAATTTTCTATTTTTCTGTAAAATAATTTTATTTTATTTTTATAAATTAAAAAAATTTGGAAGCCATTCCGGAAATACCAAAAATTGGTATTCACAGTTGCCCCTCTTTACTCAGTTCATATCAATTAGAGATATTTTGAAGTTAGAGTTGATGAGAACTGAGTAAAGAAGTGAATCAATTTTTGTCTAAAATAAACAAGGTGCATAAGAAATATATAGACAAATATAGTGAACACTCACCTGTTAGAAAAAGTCATAAATTACGACAATTTATGTTGAACGAAATTGTGAAGCGACATTGTGTTTTAACTAAAAAACAAAGGTTGCCAGGTAGATACTGGGCTTAAACAACAGGATAAAAGGTGGGAAGTGTCAGTTCGATTCTGAACTTTAATAGAAAGGTAAAATGTGGCAGGTAGGTTCTAAGCTTTGACAGAAAAATAAAATGTGTCAATTCAATTTTGAACTTTGACAGAGAAGAGAAAGGTGCCAGTTTGGTGCTGGGCTTTGACTGAAAAAATAAAATGTGCCAGCCAGGTTCTGGACTTTGACAGAGAAGGGAAAAGTGCCAGTCAGATTCTGGGCTTTGACAGAAAACAAAATGTTCCAGTTAGGTGCTGGGCTTTGAGAAAATGCGAAAGATGTTGTCAAGTTTTAGGCTTCGACAAAAACATAAAGGGACTTGGACAAGAAAGGTAAAAAGAAAGACAGAAAAATAAAAGGCTGATCATGTTCTGGATTGCAAAAGAAAACAAAAGGACAGTCAGACTCTGATCTTTAACAGTAAAGTAAGACAGAAAAATAAAAACATCAGTCAACTTCTGAATTTTGATGAAAAGTAAAGAACTCAGTCAGATCATAGACTTGGACTGAACATAAAAGTTATAAGGCAGATAATGAATTTAAATTAAACTTCAAAAGGTGAT